TCTCTCTCTCTCTCTCTCTGTGTGTGTGTGTGTGTGTGTGTGTGTGTGTGTGTGTGTGTGTGTGTGTGTGTGTGTGTGTGTGGTTGGGGAGGCAATTCAGGCAGGGACGTTCTGGTACTTTCTCCTTTTAGTTCGTCGTGTGTGTGTTTGCAGATGGTGAACTTGCTTGCATGGATTTCAGCGTGAAGTTTTTCGGTTATGGATGGCAGCAAGAAGTGTGTAGGAATGAGAGAGAGGGAGAGAAAACTGCAGAGCGCTTAGAAAAGTTATGTCGAGAGTCTGACCATTGTTGTGGCTATTTTTCTTCTGCTTCCCCCCTCTCCATCCCAATCTTGTCCCCCACCCAACCCTATTTTGCAGATCTCCTCTTCTGGGAGTTCCTCTTGTACACGTCCTTTTTGCACCTTTTGCGGGGGAAAAAAAAAAAAACCCCTGCACAGAGTCTGACAGAGATCCTAATATGTCACTCACATAGAAAGCATTCTGAACGCTGGTAGAAGAAAAACTTGAGAAAAAGTCTTGGCCACTGGCATTTCCCGATGTATGCTTGAGGAAGGAATGGCAGGTGGCCGTGTCGGCGCGGGGGTTGCGGCAGCTGCTGCTGCGGCTAAGGCATGGCGGAGAGGAGGACAGGGTGTGGTGAACTGGTTTCCTGGGCACATGGCAAAGGCTACCCGAGAGATACGCGACACTCTCCGGCGGGTCGACCTTGTGGTGGAAGTGCGTGATGCACGAATCCCGCTCTCCTCGGCGAATGAGCAGCTGTCGGACATGATTTCACACAAGCGAAGGCTGGTCGTGCTGAACAAAATGGACTTGGGTAATCAGAATCTGCAGCAGAGATGGGCTCAGTACTTCGAGACGCAAGGGCTACGACATCTCTTTGTGAATGCGCATCATCAGAAATCGCTGGGCCAATTACTGAACACTGTGCAGTCCATCCTGACGGAGGAGAGGGCGAAGGAAGACTCCTTGATGGTTATGGTGATTGGGATTCCAAACGTCGGGAAGTCGGCAATTATCAATGGGATATACCGCCTGTCAACAGGGCAGTCGGCGCAGGGCAAGAGGCAGTCCACACAGGGCAAAGCCCCCCTAAAGACTGCAAAAATAGGACCCCTACCCGGTGTAACGAGGGAAGTGGCCTGCTTCAAGGTCGGCGAGGCGCCAAGCACGTACATCATGGACACACCGGGCGTCATGGTTCCTAACGTAAAGGAAGCCACGGTTGGTCTGAAGCTTGCGCTGACTGGGGCCGTGAAGGATTCCGTCGTCGGGGAGGAACGCCTAGCACGATATCTCCTTCGCGTGCTTAACCTATGTGGAGGAGGAGGCATTCTCAAAGGGAGTCAGCGGAACAGGATCGCTTCGCCGCAAAATGACCATCCGGATCCTGGCTTTGTCGGTGAAAACCAACCACAGCCATCGCAGGCACCGAGCGGCAATTCGTGGTCACCTGGTAGCTCACCTGTCTTCGGTGAAATGACAGATGGCGGATCACCGCAATCAGAGATCGGCGTATCATTGCAGTCGCAGAACAACAAGTCACAGGCAGGAAGAAGGTCCGTTGGTGTACGAGATAAAGAACCCCCTGTGCCAGGGAGTGACACAGCGTCGAGGAGCGCTGCAGCCATTTCAGAAGTCCTGGCAATGCCATCTGAAGAGTTGAATTTGGTAGGAGACACATTTCCTCAGTCTGAGCCAGTAGTAGAAGAGGAAGAGGAGGCCTTTGAGAGGCGGATAGATATGCAGATGAAGCTCCTTAGAAGGCGTTTCAAAGTGCCAATGGAGAAGGGGGACTCCGGATGGGAAGTTGTTGGAAGGAGAATTTTGCAGGCTTATAGAGCAGGTAATTTGGGCAAGTACACGCTAGATGTCGTCCCGGACTAGTATAGCCTGGTGGAGGTTTTCCTCCCTCCCTATTCAGAGATCCACTTGCGCCCTGTATGCTACACACTTGTGAGAATATACATGCCAACACATCTTGACGGTTGGATGCTCTAAAGCACGGCGCAGTGGTACCTTGGTGCTTTTGGCTGAACGATACCTGGCGGTAGTTTTTGATGAATGTGGGTATTGATGGAGTTTCGATCCCTCATCCTTCTAAGGGATCATTGCTAGTGCATTGTATATCGGAAATATCTCAGTGTCATATGCATGCTGTAGCATTTGATGTCGATACATCTGGAGCAGCATTGTATACCGTACAGCGGAGCACTGCACGAATACCATTTCTGCTGCACACAGCACAGCACATCGGAAACTTTTTTTTTTCTTGGATCTCTTTCACTGTGTCAGGAAACTTACATATAGCTGTATGCTTGATGACTACAAGCATCTATATGCTCACAATTTGCTATTTGCCAGAGCTGCAAACCATTTGGGCCAATGGTTGAATAGCCAATTGATTTAATGTCAATCTGTATTTTCCTCTTGTACACTACCTTTTTGGACCTTCTGCATCTTTTTTTTGTTTTGTTTTCGCATCTTCCCTCCCCTCCCCCATCTCTTCCAATGTGTCAAGAAGCTTACCTATAGTTGCGGCCTAGCCGAGTTGGTAAGGCACACAAGTGGCATTCAGGAGGTCTTGGGTTCAATCCCCATTGATCTTGTGTACCTGGCAAGCCAGGTGCCCGCCACCTATGCTTAGGCTGTTGGTCCCCCTGAGTGCCACTGCGCAGAGACTGCTGATATTCGTTGGGAGGGGACCGGAGGGGAAGCACAGCGACTGGCCCATCGAAGAAGCTCGGTCCTGATGCAACCGGCTGACCCCGGGGCGGTATCGCCCACCTGCAGGTTGGGTGCAGTCGCCGCATGTTTCCTACTCGTTGGAGGCTTGAACTCAGGCTGGCGGCTACACGGTTCCCCATAGTACCAAAATGAGTATTAATATTAATCCCTACACTTACAAAAGTTCCTAATTTGAGAATTTTGCAATCCAGGGCGTACGCAGACCTACCGGCCGGACGGCTCGGATTGCCCCGAGATTTTAAGATTTTAAGGTCGCGCGGCGAGCTAGTCCGTTCGCGGTCCTACCGGCCCGACGGCCTGGATTGCCCAGCGATCTTAAAACTTTAAGATCGTGGGGCAATCAGGGCTGTCAGGCCCGCAAACGGCCTGGATCACCGTGCAATGTTTGGACTACCGGTACGGCCCTGTGTTTTCCTTTTGTGGAGGGCCAGGGCGATTTGGGCTTTTGCAGGGCGGCGCTCTCCCTTCACTGAAGTCCAGCGGGCCTCGGTGCGACCAACGGCCCGTTGGATACGACAAAGGACATTCCAGTACCAAACGTGACAAACTCAATGCATGACCCTAGCGAAAGCGACAAACTCCTGTACGCTATCTATCGAGTGCGATGGACTATCTTGCAGCCCTGTTCTGCGGCTGCCGGCTTTTGCGTGTGCTCGAAGACGCCCTCTGTGTGTGTGTGTGTGTGTGTGTGTGTGTGTGTGTGTGTGTGTGCTGTGGTGGAAAGCTTCTGTGAAGGCAAATACCACGGCGTGGGAAAGATCGACCAGACTTCACTCTGCACTACCATTCTCGACCTCGACTTTACTGCTCCACTCTACACTACCACGCTCGACTGCGACTTCACGTGTCTGGCACACACACACACGCACACAGTCGGTGAAAGTCCGATGAAACAGTCTGGTACAGTCATGGTTTTTTTGAGTGTATAGCGAATATGACAACACACACACACACACACACACACACACACAACACACACACACACACACACACACACACACACACACACACACACACACACACACACACACACACACACACGCGACATGGTGAGCCCTTATCCATCAGCCAAATTCATCCCGGGCAGACTGTCGGGGTTCAACCTCCTGATTCGTCGGTGGAAGTCCGACGAAACAGTCTGGCTTAGTCGTGCTTTTTTTATGGAGTTTTGTATAGCGAACATAACAAACACACCCACAGAGACACACAGAGAGAGAGAGAGAGAGAGAGAGAGCAGAGGTGGCAACTGGGTAACCGTTGCCCGTACCCTACCGTGCCCAACTGTAACCGGCAGGATATGGGCAGGTATGGGTACCCTTCCGGAGGGGGGCATCGGTATGGGCAGGCATAAATTTTGTTTGTGGATTTCAGGGCAGGCATGGTTGCACTGCGTGGAGATCACGGGCAGACAGGAGCGGGTACTGGCAGTGAAAAAGGAAAAAACGCAGGTATGGGCAGCCAAGAAAAAAAAAAGCATGGGTACAGTCGTTATAGGGTGGTGAAGAAAAAAATCAGATGGGTATGGGCGGGTAAGCAACTCTGCCAGGTAACCGTACCTAATATCCACCCCCCCCCCCCCCCCCCCCCCCTTTCCCTTCTTCCTAGGAAATATGCAGATCGGTGAAGGCGCTTTTTTCTTAGGCACAACCTTTTTTCCTGGCGCAAACGACCAGAAAAATATTTCAGGAAATAGCCTCCCAACTTCGAAATTTGCCACTTTCGAAATTGGAAGGTTCCAGCCTCGCCTCAGGGAGTTCCCCCTTGGAAATTGACCGCCGTCATGGTTGTACCCGCCACCCTTCTTTGTGTGCATGCCACTGCATGGCCATCGTCCGCCTGTCGTGGTTGTACCCGCTGCCGTTCTTTGTGTGCTGGATGGGCATGAGAGAGAGAGAGAGAGAGAGAGAGAGAGAGAGAGAGAGAGAGAGAGAGAGAGAAAGAGAACACGTAAGTCTCCAACCCTGTGGCTTGCCTCACGCTATTTTCATCGATAGGATGAGCAAGATCAAATGAATCTTCCGTGGAGGGCAGTTAGAGGGGATAGGGGGCTGCTAGGGGCGGTTAGGGGCGGTTGGGGACGGTTAGGGGCGACAAGGGGCGGTTAGGGGCGGTTGGGGACAGTTAGGGGTGGTTAGGGGTGGTTGGGGACAGTTAGGGGTGGTCAGGGGAGGGTTGGTCACCAATGCGGATGGTTAGGGGCCGTTAGGGGTGGTGGTTAGGGGCGGTTAGAGACATTTAGGGGCAGTTAGGGGCGGTTGAAGACAGTTAGGGGTGGTAATGGGAGGGTGGGTCACAAGTGTGGATGGTTATGGGTGGGTGCATACAATTGTGGGTAGGTATGAGTGGGCAGTGGTGAAAAAAAAAATCGGTTAGGTACGGTACAGGTGATTAACAAAAGGTTTGGGTGTAGGTGGCCATGAGTAGTTTTGAAACAGAAAGTCCATGGGCAGTTATGGGCAGTTATAGTCTGAAGGGGTTCAGGTAGGGCAGGTACGGGTACACTTCTTTTTTTTTTTAGCAGGTAAGGATGGGTAAAGGTCCGGTAGGCAATCTGTACAGTGGGTGTGGGTGGTTAGTTTTCAAAGAGGGTTTGGGTAGGTAAGGTACAGGTATTCAAAAAATCCCAGTTGCCACCTCTGAGAGAGAGAGACTGCAGTTGGCTGTGAGAGGTGGTGGGCACAGTGATCGGCATGCAATGTTCGACCGTCGAAGCCTGAACGACGCACAAAGATGGGAGATTCAGGTCAGTGGCCCCCCC